GGAATTGTCCTGAGGGGCCTTGAATGAGTGTGGTGGTGGCTGTGTACTTGCAGGTGATACAGCGAGCTCTGTTGCAGACGCAGCTACCCACCTGAACTACATAATTAGTTATTATTGCCACCCAGGAGTACTTTATAATATTCCTGATTAATGACTATTCTAATTATATTTTGTATCTTCTTAATCCTAAGAAATGACTGGAGTTACCTTCTCTACATTAAAAATCACCAGTTAATCAGAAGCATGGTTGTAGTTTTGACTTTGTGCTTCTTTATAATATCATATACTATGTGGTTCAACATTCTCATTTGTAGTATCTTGAGATCATGGAACTTTCTTATCACTTACTGTATATAGATATGGAAGTTTTATTATGCATTTTTATAGTGGATAAGGCTATTTGTATAATCTCAAGTGCTTTTTTCTGTTTTGCTTTCTGAATTACTAGGTATATTCTTTAAACTTTAGACTTTCACCTTCATGAAGATTTCAGTTTCTTTTTGCAGTTTTATTATTGATGCAAACATATGTTTGAAAGTTATTGTTTCATTTTGTCTTTTTACTGCTTCATATAGGACTCTTTGAAAAAAATCCTTCTTACAGGGATAGTGAACCCATGATGTAGAGTGCACCCTTTTATAAGAATATAAGAAATGGTTGATACAGACTCAGTTTAATAACACCAATCGTGTAACACAATAAAATGGCGTTTTAAAGTTTTATCAGTTAATGCTCTGTGTTAGCAATTAAAGCAACAATTATTATTACCAAGCCATCTGATAGCCATACAACTATAATAATAGCACACCCACACTGTTCTGTGCTGAAGGGTGAGAATGTATACACACTTTGTGGTACCAAAGTTAGATTACTAGAAACAAGAATATTATTAGCTCCTTCTTCTATCTTACTTAATGGGAGCACATGAAAAGAAAACTGTGATGTTAATGTTTGTTTAAAGTGGAAACAGTTCACAGCCTATACAAGCTAATAAACAGGATATGGGTGGAAGGAAATATGCCGGACGAGTGGAGTGTTGCCCTCGTTTGCCCAATTCGCAAAAAGGGGTCAAAACTAGACTGCTCGAACTACTACGGGATCTCACTGCTGAAATTTGTGTATAAGGTTTTCTCGAAAGTACTACACAGTCGTTTAGAAGCCCATGCTGCGCAAGTCCTTGGAGACTACCAGTGTGAGTTTCAATGTAATCGGTCAACGACGGATCATATATTCACTATCAGATGCATTTTAGAAGTGCTATGAATATAACACTGATGTCCATCAACTATTC